GAGGCTGGTGAGGGGTCTGGAGAACAAGTCTTATGAGGAGCGGCTGAGGGAACTGGGGTTGTTTAGCCTGGAGAAGAGGAAGCTCAGGGGAGACCTTTTCGCCCTCTACAACTACCTGAAAGGAGGTTGTAGCGAAGTGGGTGTCGGTCTCTTCTCCCAATTAACTAGCAATAGGATGAGAGGAAATGGCCTCAAGTTGCACCAGGGGAGGTTTAGATTGGATGTGAGGAAAAATTTCTTTACTGAAAGAGTGGTTAAACATTGGACCAGGCTGCCCAGGGAAGTGGCTGAGTCACCATCCCTGGAAGTATTTAAAAGACGTGTAGATGAGGTGCTTAGGGACATGGTTTAGTGGGCATGGTGGTGTTGGGTTGATGGTTGGACTCAATGATCTTAGAGGTCTTTTCCAACCTTAATGATTCTATGAATTATGTTCAGGTGGGAAATTCTTACCAGCCAATGAAAATGGACTGGGATTGAAAGCAGCCAGAAGTTAGTGGAAGGGGCACCACTTCATATTTTACTCACTGATTATTTTCTTGAGGTATCCTCCTAAGCTTGATTGTATTTGCTTTATGAACCCAGTCCCATGATCACATGGCAGATGGCTTACTCATCTTTTTATGCCAGAGAAACACTCAAATTCCATCCACACACTCTATTTTAGGAGTAAATGGGAAGGTTAACAAGTTCTTTACTGGATTTAATTCACATTAACTGAGTACTGCTGATTTATTCTCAATGTCTAAAAGGTCAGCCAATCTGCTGCATCATGCTGCATTTAAGACAAAATATTCAACTTAAGAGTATTCTTTATTTACTGTACCTGGACACTGAAAAATGCATCACTAGCCAGCTAGGATAGCAGGACACTTAAAAGGGAGAAAGGGTGTGTAGGATTAATCGCTGTAATTTCTAGAAACTTGCAGATGTAAGAAGACCTGGGATGAGCTTTGCTGTTAGCTTTTGCATATAGTCTAGGTGGATGCCCCATTTAATTTCAGTGAGGGTTGAAGTATGGTCTTAGAACTAGTGTGGTTTGTTGTAGCCTCACCTAAACCTCTGCAAGCAGAGAGGAAACTCACGTATCAGGTGACACACCTTCCTTGCAAGGTAAAAAGCAGCTTGCAACTTTGCCATTTACTGGGAATCTAGGAGCAACACCACTGAGGGTAACAGCTTCATTAGCGGAGAAGAGGTGGTTCAGGCGCTTGTCCTTCCATCAGACGGTCTCACGTCCCAAACATTCTGGGTCCAGCCTTCTCACTCTTACAGAGGTCCTCCCTCATGGGCACAGCAGGCAGAGCAGGAAGGCTGTCCTATCCACATGTGATGGATGAGACAAGGCGGGGCTGAGCATTAGGGGTATGCTACTGACTTCGAAGCTTGTGCAGCTGCCCAGTTGCTGCCACTCCATTCTCTCACCAGCACCAAACAGAAGCACTGCAGGACTGCTAGGGCTCTGTTTTTATCATTAGGTATGCTGCTGCTGTCTCACACTTGACCTGAAGAAGGGACTAGGCTCATGGAGATAAAGCCTCTGAGCTAAAGGAGCTCAAGTAGTAGACGCCTTAATTTTCCAAGGAGAGTACAGTTCCTGACTGAAGACTAGATCCAGTGTAATGTTTTTTTGAAGCATAACTGTATTACCCAGCATAGTGAAGAAAAAAAAAAAAAAAATCCTACCTACTTGCTATGCTAGCAAATGGCAGAGGCTGATAAAGCAGCACCAGCACCAGACAAAAGCTTTTGTTTCCATTTCTTGTCCCTTCAGAAGTTTAGAAAACAATTTTGCAGTGGGAAAAAAAAACCTTAGCTGCATTGCCACTAGAGGACTCTCCTGGCACAGCGATGCTGGCTTTGCTACAGTCCTCATCTCCTCTACTGTGGACAAGCTTCAGAAAGGATGGAAATGGGCTACCACAGTCCAATTTTATCTGCCCCACAACATCATTTGGGCTCAGAATCTTAAAACTGATGGTTGGAAAGATTCCTGACATACAGAGTAAAAACCAACAGTGATGGTTCACTTCTGTCCTTTGGCTGACAAAGTGTTCTTAGCAAAGATATTCTTCATGCAGCCCCTGTGGCACAGGGAGACATGAAGTCAAATACACAAAGCCAACCCTTCCTAATTCTTACGCTCTTGCACCATTGCCTTTGATGGAACAGATGTTAGACCATTTCCAATACAAAGCTTCAGGTTAAACTTCACCTGTGCAAGCTTTAAAATAGTATCTCATAGTGGCAGCTCATAGATTGAGATTTGGTATTTTTTGGCTAAGTTAAGACTAAGTATAACGTATTAGAGAGGAACCAACAGACAGATGACCTGGTCATATATACCTTGTTTCAACAGGGAACCACGCTGAAAATATTTATAGTTTAGTGAAAGATATTGCCCTAGCTCACACGCCTGCACTCCTATGGAAAAAATCCCTGTGCAGACACTTGGAGAAACAGCTTCATCTGAGGTTGGTGGAGGGTTTGCCACATGGAGGAACCTGGTTTTGGCAAAGCCTTTGGGTTTGTGTTTCTACTGAGGAAAAAATGTTTTTCTCTATCATTAGCTGCTGAAGGACTGCTCAGGGAAGGTGTTGCAGTTCACCTGCAGCATGGTGTCATGATACTGGAGATGGGGTGAAAGTGTAGACTACATCTTTAGATGTGATGATCATGACCAATTGCTTCAGTGGACAGCGAGAACAAATAATGGGCCTTGGAAGAATGCCAAATTAGTAGAAACGAAAAACCACGTTGTTGTGGCTTCTGAGTTACAACCTACATTAGGGGATATAGAATAGGTGTTCAACAAAAAGCCAGACTCATCTGGATGCTAAAAGCCAGTGCCATAGCCAGCATATGTTCCAGGAAAAGGAGTCTCTTCTGCCTTTTCTGGTAAGAAAATTTTTAAGTCACCTATGTGCTGCTGTCACATGCTCCCGGGAGGTCACTGAGATCATTGCAAATCAACCTATCAGACTTAGGAGATTACATTAACAACTGCACTGCCTTTCTTTGCGTGCTGACCATACCTATCTGCAGTATACAGCAACAGGGTAACAAGCAGAAATGATTGCAAGACATTTGAGGGGAACCACTGAGGTACTACTTCTGAGGATAGACACAGCCTTTCCCCTGCCTCCCCATGCCCTGTATTTCTTACACGAAGTCTGGCGTCCCTTTGAGAGGGGACGTGTCAGAACGTGAGTTCCAGCAAGAGCATCCAGCCTTCTGCGTACCTGTGCTGTGCCTGCGGCCGCTACCTCACAGCAGCAGCTCAGATGTTCTCACCCCTGGCACCGTGGTGAGTCCCTGCTCAGAAAAGGCCTCCCATCAGCTACCACTGAGGGGACTGCAGGAACTGCCCACGGCCACAGAAATGACATGTGCTCTGGCTCTTCTGGGAAGACCTCTACTCTTCCTGCTCTGTACATGTACTTGTCTGGAAGGCAGGAGAGCAGGAAGAAAGTCTGGGCCACAGCTCCGCTTCCAAAATCAGATCACAGTGTGGGGTGAGATGGGACATTTCTTCCCGAGGAAGAAGACAGGTAGCATAAGCTACAAGGGGAGCCTCCAGGTGAGGAAGGGGAAGTGCACACCAAAATGTGGGGGAGACGAGCCTGGCTACCGGTGCAGCTTTGATACTGCCATGGAGTTTTTAAAGTGACCGGTCTGGTGCTTTCTTTTTTCACTGTAAGCTAAAAATATTTCCTGGCTTTTTGTCATCAGAAAGTCCAGAAATAATTTTCTGCTGTTTCTGCATTTGTACTGAATTCAGTGGAGCCAGAGGAGCTTATAACAGCTGAGAATCTGTTTCATACCTAGTTTTAGGGCTAAGTCCCCACTCTTCCCATTTAATAGGTAAGTCCTTCTTCCCCATCCCACCATTCCACACTGAGCACTGCCTTACAGACTTGTTCAGGTGCTTTCTGTAGTCAGCGGTAACAGACAGGCCCCTTCCGAGGGGTATGCTTGCTTTCTGTCCTAGACCTTGCTCTTCCTCCTCTTATTACAACTACAACTAATTTAAACTTCACAAGTTTTAAATGGGTAAAGCTAGATTTTTAATTATCTCAAGTTAGGCAAGGTGAATACTGTTCCATGTGTCTACACTTGTAGGTTAAAAAAAAAATCACTTTTTAAGGCTGTTTGGAAAGATTTAGCCTTAGTAGATTTTAAATGAGATTTGACTCGAACAACCACTGTTAAACTGGATTGTTTTAGCAGCGTAGCCAGAAACCTCATAAGCCCAAATAATGCATTAAAGGATTAATTTCTTTACAATAAATTAGAACTTTTAAAAGCAACAAATGCTATAGTATGCTACTATATTTGAATTATAACTTTTTCATTAAAGTGAAGCTGTAGAACTTTTTCTAAGGAGAGCTTAAAAAATTTTTTTTATCCCAGAGTTTAGATGAAGAGGAAAGAATACGGTGATGCAAAGCACTATGGAGGGTGGGATGTCTAATGTTCACAACGAACAATTGTGAGGAGAGAATTGGCCAAAAAACAAACAAACCCAACAACAGTATTTCATACCAGTCCTGCACTGCATTGAAGGAGTCTTCGCTGGTGATATCATACATGAGGATGAAGCCCATGGCTCCTCGGTAGTAGGCTGTAGTGATGGTCCTGTATCTTTCTTGTCCAGCTGTGTCCTGGAACAGAAAAGAATATTTAGGCTTTAAGACTTCAGTTCTCAGAAATAGGAGTTGTAGTTAGGTCCTATATCTAAAATAAGGCAACGACCTTTTGTTATTATACCTTTCAAAATTCTTATTTGCTCCCAACTGAAATGAACTCTACTTACTTTTAGCATTAATTGGGCTTTTGCATCAACTATGATTTGTTAAATGCATTTTGACACATGTACTCTTAAAAAAAATACCAAAGATGACAACCCTTTAACTGCTCTTCTCTGCCTCAGCCTCAATGCAATAATAAAATGTTAGCAGAGTTCACTGAAAGCTGACACTTCAAAGCAGAGGCAATAGAAAACAGTCCAGGACTGTACCAGGCAAAAGACATTTACATGTTGCAATTTAGTGTCATGGTCAGGAAAATGTCTTTGAGATAGATGCTGTGGGTGACTCGGTTCTTACCTGAGGTTAGAGACAACAATTAAAGACTTGATGCAATGAAAATTATTCTAGAAAGTGAATTTAATGTGGAATATCCCAATCACAATGTCCGAGGTGCACATACTAATTTGAGATTTACTAATCTTCTTCCATTGGTTCAGCTTAATTCTCTTTACCTACAGAGTGCTATAGAATACCTCCACCTGCAGTTGTCATTTCTATGTTCAGCCTGGCAGCACAAAGGTGAAACTCTGGCATATACAACAGAAGAATTTCAAAAGACTTGTGACAGCTGGAAAACATGTCAGCTACCATCTGCTGGATGCCAACAACATTTATTCCTCACATTTTGGGTGCCTGCTCTTAAACCGAGGAATATTTCTACATCAGATCAGCGTTCCTGCAGCCAATCTGTTCCCTCTGGACCTGCCTTCTGAACCAAGGAGAGAAGTCGCGTGCTTAATGTATCTTTCATTCAGGAAGTATCTATCATTTGAGCAAACACATTTCATCCATCTTTTGGTAAATGGCAACTCTGTGAAACAGCTGCAGGGAGGCAAAAGGCCTTCCCTTCAAAGCACACGTTCAGCATAAGGTGTTGACTGCTAGTTACTCTTACGGGTTAGCAGTTCTGAAATGAATGGTCCTTTAGTCCTCCAAAACCCACACTTAAGAAGTCATTTACTGCCACTGGTTTAAAATGTGATTAAAGTTTCTCTTCTCTAGAGAAAAAGAGCCTAAGAGCCTTAACAATCATGTAGCTAGTTGGAAGAGTAAAATAAATCCACGTAGAGCACTCTTGCAGGAGTATAGAGCCAGTTTCTGATCAGACACAGCACATCACCACAACCCCAGAAAACACACAAGGTGCAGTGGGTGGGAGACTACTCAGCTTTAAAATCCTCCTGTCTATCATTCCCATACATGCAGCTTTGGTTTTGCTGCGTGCAAGAGACAGTGTTGGCCCTTCCTGAGCACATGCTAGCCAGTCTATGAAAGGGGAGAACATCAGTGATCGCCTGTTGTTCTGCACCAGAATATCACAGAGGCTCTCTGTAGGAGGAAAGTGCTTGTAAATAAGCTCCCTGCAGATTGCTTAAAAGGCTCTCCCTATTGCACTACTGTGAGACTATCCACAGCTGTAACACACCGCGAATTTCCCAGTGGAGAGATTATGCAGCTGGAATCTTGCTGTTTCTCTACCACACTTCTGGAAAAAGAAGGAATTTTTCCCTGAAAGTTATGCGTTTATTTCAAGACAGGCTAGTCCATTGGTTGATCACGGTGAGGCATTGCACACTGACTGAGAAAGAGTCCTCCTGTTCCCTCCTGACAAGAAGTACCAGAATGAGGTGGACTACACCTCACAGCCCGAGTGACCATTTCTTCTCCTGTCATTGATGAATCCGTCACAGAGCAGTCTCATATTCACTGACATCGCACCCTTGCTTAGCTGCTGAACAGTTAAACCAGCTGTGCCAGCTAGATCCTGACTGTACTTCTTCAAGTGAGAAAGGTCTCAGCAGCAATAGCATCATTTTGTTTATTCAGAGACGAGATAGTTGCTTTATTTTAGCCTGATTTCCTAAGGACATGAGGCTTATTAAATCATCAGTCTCCACACGTGCACACGTATACGCTTATTATAACTCTACTGACTTTTGATCAAATTTGACTGAGGGGAAACGCTCTCAAAGGTGCGTTCTTACAAATGTCACAAAAATATTTGGTGAGGTGAAGAAGAGAGACCTTAAGCATACCTTAGCTAGGGAAAAAAGCTTAAGTGCAATGCTTATCTTTTTCTAACACCAAAGGATCCACAGGGGAGAGGCTTTCTTCATGCCTCATTAGCAGAAAGACCTAAATCAGTATTAGTAACTTCTCAGATCCTGCAACCAACAAAAAGAAACAAATCCATAGGAAGTTGGGCTTCTTCAGTTCTCATGCTCACAGCATTACTGTTTTACACCTGCATTCCCAGGTTCTTCTACCTCCCAAATCTCATAATCTATTTTCTGCTCTGTGTTTAACTAGCGCTCATTTTGGCTTAGGGCATGAGGCTGTGACCAGGCAGAAAGCAACTGCAAGACACATTGTCTACCTACATGCAGAATAATTTGGAAAGAAATTAAATTTGACAATAACATGGAGCAAGGAGTTAGCTCTGAGGATGTACATCCAGGCTGTCCTGGGAAGCAGCCCCAAGGGACTCTGAGGGTGGCTTCCAAAACCTGCCCTGGTACCATCTCAGTGCTGTGGCGCAACTAGGAACTGGACTCAGCCCACAGAGTTTGTGTTAAAGGCAAACTGTGCTATTGCCTGAAACCTCTGAAATTTAGCAATTCTGGTTTGTTGATTTCAGTATTCTGCCTGCAAACCCCCTGTGTGTGTGTGTGTGCCCCGATTTATACGTTAGTGAGAGACAGGGACATGGCTGCAGGAGGTACCGAACCCCAAAGGGCTACATGCATTTGCTTAGTCATAACCTGTTCTCTGGTGGGCAATGCACTTACCTCATTAGGAAGGTAATTTGCATATTCATTAGTTTATACTTAGGTACCTGCCTTCTCAGGTTATCAGAGGGGGTGTGGGGAGGGGGAAAGGCATCCTATATTTCATGGTATGTAAAGTTTATTCATAACCTTGCTCTGGTAGTCTTGTGGTACAATGCAGAGATGTGATTCATCTCTATGTGAGTCACTGATGGATTCCTCACTGTTTTACTGTACAGGCACAGAGCACGTCAACTCCCCTTAAAGGTTTTTAGTTGCATTTCTCCAAATCCATTTGAATCTTTGTAATATCACCCTGAAGAGAATTTTTTCTTCAGGTTATGTTAGATTCTTAGACAGCTATAAACTGGCTTAATTTTCTTGACTCACACCATGTTTTATGCTAGCTTCAGTGAGCAACCCCCCCCCCCAGCTACTTCAACATAAATAAAATAAAACAAACTGGAAAATCTGAGCTCAGTTTCTTCAGCATTCACAGTAGCTGCCCTTACATCAGTTTAAAACACCACAAATCTTAGGTAATCAGGCATTTCAGGTTTTTATGTGCAAGACGTTTATCTAACGAAGGAGAAAATAACTGATGCAGATTGTTTTTTTTACCACTCCCCCAAAGTTGCTTGCAAGATTTCCAGGTAGACCCACAAACTCATCAGAAGACAAGTAGACAAGGCACAGGCAGGGATCAGCAGAAACCCGATGTAGCTCTAATTAACAGTCTACCAAATGCCTAGGAATAATAGCCTGAGCCTTCAGCATCCAGAAGCCTGTTTGGCTGTCCCTGATGAGGAATCAGAAAGCTTGGTTGTAACCAAGCACGGAAGGGTCTCTGTGAGGTATATGTACACTAATGTGCTAACAACTCTGTTCTTTTGTAGCTTACATACGTGCCTGTCCTTGACAGAAACAATTAAAAAGCCCCACAAGACCATTAGTTGGTAGCTTGAAACAAAAATTTGAAGGTTTCGCATTAACGAGCAATCAAAATTCAGTGTTTATCACAGGAGAAAAAGACCTAAATGCATTTGCATTATGTGCAGATGCCCCCTACTCACAAGATATATCACCTAAATCTTCACAATAGGAGCACAACCAGCTTTTCTTAAATTTACCTGGCTGTCTCAGCAGAAAGGGCGAGGTACTTACACAGGAAATATATTTGAGTTTTTAAATCACGACAGATGCTCTTTGCTGCAGGTCTGAAAAATCGGAATCCCTGATTCTGAACCATCGTTATTCTAGTGAAGATTTCCAGCCACAAGTTCTTTGTTCCAAGTAAAATGTCACTGAAACTTCTCATCTGTACCAGATTTACTGTTCTAGCAGTGTATGTGACAAACAGCCTCTAAAGAAATAAATCTTTCAATTTTTTTAAAGGATTATGGTTTGATTTTGTTTGATTTTTTTTTAAAAGAAGAATAATACCTAAGAGTCATCTGTTTTCCAGCTGGTTGGCAACAATTACAAGATGCATGTACTTAGCATCGTCCTTGCTTAGGCCGCTCAGAGTCAGAACAGAGGCTACGCCAACCCCAATAACCAGCACCAACCACAATTTTGGGGCTTCATCAGCTGTGGTGAAGGAGAGACCTCTTCCCCTCCCTTGCTGTTCAGCGTCATGTCGTGACACCTACGCTACCGCTTTTTGCGCCTCGTTCGATGTTTGGTCAGCCTTGGAGACAGGGTAACCGGCTTCACAGACCCATGGTTATAGGGGCAGCAGGTTGTTAGACATGAAAGTGTCAGGAAACATTTGACTCCCTGCAAACACAGCTCAGCTCTCAGCAAGGCTGGCCACCTCAGCTCCTGTTCTCTACAAGACAGATAACCTGAATAAGCAAGAAATAAAGGCACATCCTGAAGGCAGAGGGCTGTTTGTCCTGCTTCAGGCCAATCTGGGGCTCAGTAATACTTGACCCCTTTACTTTCCCTTCTGCATGGATGAGGAAACATTCAGGCCCACGTGGAGCTATGTCGGTGTCTGTTGTGAACAGTGAGAGTGACATTCTGCCATCCATAATCTCCGTACCCTGCCTCTCTCTTCCCACCTCCAGGCAGATCTCTCAAACTGTACGTGCAGCCTTCTCTGCTGCTGCCCTGTTCTGCCTTCCTCACTGGACCTAGCTAGCTGCTCAAAGCTGGGGAAGCAAACGGCATTGCCTTGTCTTTCTGGACTGTTGCAATGCGAAGTGTTAAATTTCTTATGACCTCCGGCAAACGTAATTTTGGTCAGTATATTATTGATGTCTGCCGCAAGGAGGCTGGTACGTTCCAGTTCCACTACTCTCATGTCAGCATGTGCATTTCAGACTGCACGCTCTCTGGGGCTGAGACCTCCTTAGCTGTGTGTTTACCCAGTGCTCAGCACAGAAGGGTTCTGCCCTGCCATCGGAGCTCCTGGATGTTACATTAACACACACATTTCCTTTGCAAAAGTGGACTTTTGAATAGAAGCCACCAAGAATCAGCTAAACAAAAGTCACCTTGAGAAAGAGGAAGGGGGAAAAAAACCAACCCATCAAGAACCACAAGTGTGGTGGTGTGAAGAGAGTGACCTTGGGCAGACAAGTATGTGCCCTTAATAAGAGAATGCTAACATTGAGCTTACTGTTCCTGCTGGCAACTAGAAATAGCAACGAACGGGCAAGCAAGATGAGTCACTGGTTAAGACATGGAAAAGACGTGATGTCATGAAAAGCCTGTGAAGTTTCAATTGCTGCCAGGAGCAAAATAACACCTGGCTCCTTCAGAGCTCAGTTCTGATTAAAATGCTCGTATTGTATCAAGCATGCATCAGATCATATTAAGCATGTTTTTTTCCTCTCTTGTTATTGAGTGCTCCCATTGCCCAGGAGTCACTGGAACCTACTCGGACACATTTAGGTACCTTGAGAGCCAGTTTCATCTGAGCAGTATTAGCACTATTGCTAATAAGGCCAAGTGCAACGTCCTGCACATGGATCGGGGCAATCCCAAGCACAAATACAGGCTGGGCGGAGAATGGATTGAGAGCAGCCCTGAGGAGAAGGACTTGGGGGTGTTGGTTGATGAGAAGCTCATCATGACCCAGCAGTGTGCGCTCGCAGCCCAGAAAGCCAACCGTATCTTGGGCTGCATTAAAAGAAGTGCGAGCACCAGGTTGAGGGAGGTGATTCTCCCCCCCTACTCTGCTCTCATGAGACCCCGCCTGGAGTACTGTGTTCATCTCTGGGTCCCCCAACATAAGGACAACATGGACCTGTTGGAGCGGGTCCAGAGGAGGGCCACAAAGATGTTCAGTGGGATGGAACACCTCTCCTGTGAAGACAGGCTAAGAGAGTTGGGGTTATTCAGCCTGGAGAAGAGAAGGCTCCAGGGAAACCTTACAGCAGCCTTCCAGTACCTGAAGGGAGCCTCCAAGAAAGCTGGAGAGCGACTTTTTACAAGGGCGTGTAGTGATAAGACAAGGGGTAACGGCTTTAAACTAAAAGAGGGTACATTTAGATTAGATATAAGGAAGAAATTCTTCACTATGGGGGTGGTGAGGCACTGGAACAGGTTGCCCAGAGAAGTTGTGGATGCCCCATCCCTGGAAGTGTTCAAGGCCAAGTTGGATGGGGCTTTGAGCAACCTGGTCTAGTGGAAGGTGTCCCTGCCCATGGCAGGGGGCTTGGAACTAGATGATCTTTAATGTCCCTTCCAACCCAAACCATTCTATGATTCGGATATGCAGCAAAACATTTCTGTTGAAAAAACAAAACAAAACAAAAAAAACACAAAACACCCTGTCTTTTTTGATAAAAGGCTCTATCCTTGCAAAGTGTTTTTTAAACATTTCCTCGCTATGGCTATCTTCACTTCAACTCTTTAGAGGTAGTAAAACCAGAAGCCTTGGATAATTTCAGTACCACCAGTTGCAGAAGCTTCACTTTTCCCGTCCTATTGTGCTTACCCTGTACAGAAGCTCCTACCACCCTGTTTTCTCTAACATTCCCACACTAACTGCTCCCACCATGGAGACGGAAATTTTACAAAAAGAGACTTTTAGTACATACAGAGCCTACAAGAGCTCACCAATATCTGGTCAGTCATCAGAGGTCTCAGTCTTCCCTGACACACACACACTTTTGAAGTTGAAACACCGTAACTCAGTGGTTGAGTGTTCCTTCAGGTGAGGCACTACACTTTTCTTTTTAAAGTACTTTTGTAAACTAAGCTGATGGACAAGGAGTAGACGAGTTAGTGTAGGTTGACCTCATCCATCATTAAAACATTTCTGGTGGTTGGGAAGCCCCAACTCTTTAGCTTTGCTCAGCAACTCCACACCATTTAAGACAAAAAGTGAATCACTGAAAATGCAACGGGATGCGTTTGCTCAGCAGAATGCAATTTCAAAACTGGAATCGGGCCAAGGTGCTATGATTAACACTCCTGCTCATGACCTATTAAGATGTTAAAAAAATTATTTCTGTTTTCTCAGGTGCCTTGAAATTGTACTGAAGATTAGCAGCAGTTGCCCTTCCTGATCTGTCAAACGGTAAGGAGGACTGAAACAGGGCTGCTTGCTTATGAACATTATCTGCTCTTCTCATCTTTTTGTAGGTTGAGTTTCTCTGTTAGAGTATTTAAAAGACAGTGGCTGCAAAATAGAGAAATCACATGAGGAGGTGCACACAAAGATTAAGTTCATTGTGCACATTTCTTAAATCTTATAGAATTGAAAAGTCTTATTTTTCATGACTTACAATTAATATGAAGATCAGTCTGATATTTTTTGATTTTTCCTGATTTTTCCTGATCCAGTTACCTTGATAGAAAAATAAAGAAATGGCAGTAATAAAAATATGTAGCATCCACACCACATGCCTACTTCCACTTCTCTAGCTGCAAATAAACAGCAGGCAAAGTTCAAGATGCATTTGAAAGCCCATCCACTGTGGGCAAGTGATAAAACCATCACAGATATGATAAAAAAATTTAAGAAAATTTTAAGAGGCTGAGATCCTAGAATAAGAAGCTTTTTAGGCACTGAATGCATTGTTATATAAGAATATTTTGCCAGTTTTGTAAGACCTTTTTAGTTGTCCCACATATATCCTTTAATTCTGTTACTCAACCACTGTAAGAACAGCTGTACGATGCACAGATATCTGAGCAATGTTAGCCACTATAAGCATTATTAATTAGCTAGGGTTGTTGAGAAGCAGATAGATTAACCACAGCAAGAGTACTTCAGAAGCAACACTATGCTACTGTGAACGAGCAAGCGTGGACATCTGTGCTGGTTTTGGCTGGGGTAGTTAATTTTCTTCATAGTAGCTATGGGGCTGTATTTTGGATTTATGCTGAAAACAGTGCTGATAACACAGGGATGCTTTCGTTATTGCTGAGCAGTGCCTTCACAGAGTCACGGTCTTTTCTGCTTCTCACCCCACCCCACCAGCGAGTAGGCTGGGGGTGCACAAGAAGCTGGGGGGACACACAGCCGGGACAGCTGACCCCAACTGACCAAAGGGATATTCCATACCATGTGACGTCATGCTCAGCATAGAAAGCTGGGGGAAGAAGAAGGAATTGGGTGCATTCGTAGTGATGGCGTTTGTCTTCCCAAGTAACCGTTACGTGTGATGGAGCCCTGCTTTCCTGGAGATGGCTGAACACCTGCCCGCCGGTGGGAAGCAGTGAATTAATTCCTTGTTTTGCTTTGCTTGCGTGCGCAGCTTTTGCTTTACCTATTAAACTGTCTTTATCTCAACCCGTGAGTTTTCTCACTTTTACCCTTCCGATTCTCTCCCCCATCCCACTGGGCGGGAGTGAGCGAGCGGCTGTGTGGTGCTTAGTTGCTGGCTGGGGTTAAACCACGACAACATCCTAAATGGTCCTGTGGATAGACATGCTGCAGTCCAGCTACCACTGTGTGGGTCGTAACAGCAGTCTGCTAACCCATAGAGACGTACAGCAGAAAGGAAAATCTCAATACATTATGAATCAACTGCCAAAAGAGCAAATGCAAAATCTGTGAGGAGGAAGTTGAATGATCTGTGGTACAAATCTCTTTAAATTCAGTAGCCTGGTTCTTTGATCTGGAAAGGAACAAGGACAGGTGAAGGGAATTAGCATCATAGTGCTATCAGCCTCCCTCCCCCTCAAATGCATGCAAGCAAAACAGAGCAAATCCCAGCTCCGAGAGCAGCAGAACAAGACCCAGACTTCCTGGAGCCTATTTCTAGGTGATCAAGTGTCATGGTAACCAGCAAGAAAGCCAGGCAGCCTCAGGTCTGTGCCGAGCAGGCTCTGCACGAGGCTGGGCAGCAGCCGCCCGGCTCTAGTCACCCAGCAGCATCTTGGTGGTACCCAGCCCTGACTGCGGCTGCATGACTCCGGGCAAGACCTTCAGTTAACCCATTTTCAAAGCAAATATTTGTGTCCGAGGGTGTTTATGAAGCTCAATGACTTTGTGCCTGGAAGACCTGTTAGTACCCCTAATTATAAGAAAACTTAGTACTCTGCCACAAGCATCACTCCTAGGGCTTGTTCTTATCAAGGGATGATTTCAGCTTATTTAGTAGTGGATTAGGGCTAAATCTGAGCCTCATACTTCACAAATACCCCCTAGAGATATTATGTCAAGGGGGTTCATTCTAAGACAAAGTGCTCAGAAATTCTGGGAAGGTGTTTATGATATTTCTAAGATTAAAATACGAAATCAAATTACAACCATGAGACAAGAACACATGCTTTAAATTGAAGGGCAGCAGCAAGACAGAAAGAAAATAACCAAACATAATTTATATTAAGAACCACATGCCAATAGGAAAAAAAAATCTTTTAAGGTCTTTAAAACCCTAACGTGTACTTTTTCAAGATTTGGTGGAAATTAAGAGTTGATCAGGCAATTTCCAATTTATTATCTCCCAAATTAGGAAAAGAAACCCACTGCTGAATTCGGGTGAGCATTAAACAAAAATATAAAGACATTTAAGGTTCTAGCACTCAAGAAGGTAGAATGAAAGCTTAAAGACAACAAAACCCAAGAACAATCTGAAGCTCATAAATCAGAAGGTAAATAAAAAGGAAAAGAAAAAGGTATGTATCTCACTTCAGTAGAGTTTGAAATACATTTTCCAAATGCTGCAGTTAGCAATAACATAGATTACTCTCTCTCATAAGTTTCTATTTGATAGAAATGTGCACATACTTTGAAAAGCAATGCAATAAATAAATCTGATACAGTTCTTCATTGGTGACATGAAGGGGTTTTTGTTTAAATTCACAAAAATGTAAAAAAACAATCAAATGGAGTTTGAAACT